TTTTACAGATGAATATGCAGAGTGTCGAAATATAGATTTGTTCAGCAAAGACTAAATACCCCAGACCATTCGTCCCGGTGTTATCGCTATCGCCACACGAGACTCCAGCTTGTCTCCTATACAATTTGACTGCGCACATCCACACGGTACGAGGTTTTACCCAGAATTCAACACGTTCTGTACCAACGCATATTGCTATGCGCAGAACTGAAATTCTGGCATCGTTCTGCGCAAAAACCGTTTTTAGCGCTTGAGTTGTTTCCGGGTTAGCCTTCCATGTGCTTATCGTGCGATTTATTGTACCAATATCACATTTTCTGGACGTATTCCTACACAATCATGCTAAGAGTATCCAAAAGAGTCAAGCAGGCAAGTTTAGCCGCAAAATTACGTGGGAAATTGGCTTCAACTGCTCACTCGATCGCCGATGTTGTCCGTCGGCACACAAAGTCGTTCGCTTTCTGATCTTTCTTCCGAGATTTTGACTCGAATATTCACGTTTTGTTGCTTTTTTAATGACAGTGATGACTATAGTTCACAGTTCGAGAAAGTTAAAACGATGTGCTCACTTCGAATGGTTTGTAGGCGATTTTATGCTATCGCGTCGAATGATTTGTTCGTTATGGGAATGACTGCAAGCTCTATTGCCAGCCGTGCTTTTCACAGATTTAAGCTGATGAAGGCGAGATCGCTCGTTGCTAATGAAATAGGGCAACTTTCCGATTTGATCATTCAAAAAGGGCCATCTCAAGTAAGACAAGTGGTGAGAAATTTGCTGGAAAATTTAAAGGGTCACGAATGGGATGATTCAAAAAAATATTTGGAAGTCTCTCTTGCAGTTCTATTTAGCACGAAAAGATCAGCAATTTCTAAGAAAGCCACTGAGAGTCGAGCCTACATCAGTAAAATCTTAAATCAGCACCAGGCAGTAGGTGAAAAGTTGTCTGGATTTGATGAGAGTGCCCTTTGGCAATTACGATTAAATAAAGATAAAACATTTGCCAAATCAGTATTATCTGTATCATTTTTCAAGGAAGCCATTATATCAGATATTCTGCCTCCTTCTGTTAAATTGAATTCTCAAATTAACCACTTTGTGAAATAATTTGAAACGGTTCCACACTATGGTGTCAGAAACTGCCTCTCAAAATAAAAAGGGCTGGTTTGTTCATGATATTGAAGGCCTGGTTTGGAGAAGTGTCCTCAACATATTGACTGAAAAGAAATTGGATTATGACCTTGATGATGAAAATGAGAGACAGAAGTTAGAAATAGTTGTAGGTGAGGGTGGCCACACTTTCCAAGATTTCAAGGGAGTGTTCCAAAATTTCAATTTGCCATCAGTGGTGCTATACATCTGATAAAATATAATAGTAATGAAGTATGGAGAAATCCAAATCCAGTCTTCTGATGCAAGCCGCATTCCATTTGCCATTATAAATGCCTCAGAGAGTGATGCACTGATAGAAGTTGATATTCTTCCTGTTCTGGCATGCACTGAAAAATTTGCCCAACATGGTATAAAGGGGATGAAATACTGTAGAAAACTGGAACGAGATGAAAAGTATAAAAGTTTGGTCTTGCAGAGAAAGAATACCAGTTTTTTCTGCAATTTATGTTTGGCTACAGTTCATAAATGTCACAATCCAAATCATGAATGGGATATGTCTATCACTCTTGCGGATATGAATTCATGGGCAGAAGAAAAAAGTAATGGTCAGAGTAATCATCCTCTTATAAAGTATGACCCCATAAATGAATACACTATGGATCACCTTCATGCTAAATTGAGAAACGTGGGTAAACTAATTGACAAGCTCTTCAACGAGGCTCAAAAGATCGACCAACAACTGGAATTTATACAAAAGTTTGCAAAGTTATCTGAAGATCAAAAACATGATGTGAAGCAATATGAAACAAAACTGGTCGACCAATTTGATACCAAGGTTGAAATTAATGAAGCAAATCATTCAGCAAAGTTACTTCAAGTTACTAAAAAGGATGATCTTAACAAACTTGATAAGAAACTTGAAGCAGCTTCACTAGCATTTGAAATTAAATACACTGAACACATTGAAGTGAATTTGTTGGATTCTGCTGAATCACATTTTGAAATTTTATTTGGCACACACAAGGAATACAAATGCACACTATGTGCATCACATCTCCATGTTGTATATAAAATCAAGCCAGGTATCACTCGTCACATGCAAACTGTCCATGGTAAGTTCAGCACAAAAGATCTGAAACAAAACACAAGATGCATTACTAATCTCAATATTTAATATCAAAAATCTGTCATAATAATAAATTATTATTTACACTTGGTAAAACTATTCCAAAGTCAGCCTAAATTGTCAAATTTGTAATGACACTATTTTCTATGAAGTCTTTGACTGTAAAAAATGGGGCATGTGGAGGGGGCCTGGCACATTTTCTTTGAAAATCATTTGTTATTAAACTAATCTCAATATTTAATATAAAAAATCTGTCATAATAATAAATTATTATTTACACTTGGTAAAACTATTCTAAAGTCAGCCTAAATTGTCAAATTTGTAATGACACTATTTTCTAGGTATTAATTCTTCAACTTCAAACACATCAATGTGTGTCACGTTTACTGGAGAAATGGGGCAAGTGGAGGGGGCGTGGCACATTTTTTTTTGAAAATCATTTGTTATTAACTATATTTAGTATATTCTCACTTTAATATTACATAATTTATTATGAATAATATGTCAGAAAATAATATTGAGAGAAACGAATGAAATGCATTGGTATCAAAAACAGATACATGGAAAATGTTCATTTTATCCCTATACCCATAGTATCTCAATAGTGTATATATTATCTCAATAGTGAATATATGGTATGCAAATTAATGACAAAATACATTATGACACTTTATTCACTACTCCTATGAGGGACATAACGTGTATATGGTCGATCTACATATCGTTGTAAAGCTCTCGAAATCCCCAACAAAATTACGTTTTTCATTTTCACGACCAGCATTTTTGCAACAAAAAAGGCGCCAATAATTGAAGAAATCGAACGTTATTTTCTAAAAATTGCTTTTTTTGTGTGTAAAACGTAAAAAAAAGGACTTACCGAACGTAACTTTGTGAGCCGCCATGTTGACAATCCATAGGAGGCACTCTCGCGGTAATTCTAACATAACAGTGAAAGGAGTAGGCCAAAAACCACCAAAAATGCAGTAATTTCGCATAATCAATTATAGTCTATAACTATTTATTGAAATGGTTAAAACGATCCGGGTAAAAAACTTTAAATACATCAAAAAAATGAGAATTCCAGTATCAAGTTGGGAATGAGGCTGGTGGGTCAATTGAGGTCATAGAATGGTAATAGCGTGTATGCTAGTTTTTCTTTCAATTTGAAATTGCGCCCTCGTGCGGAGATAAAGTGTATATTGGATGGTACAAAACGCATTGAACTCTGGGATATCACAATTGCCGTGCAATATGCGTTGGCACAGAACGTGTTGAATTCTTGGTAAAACCTCGTACCGTGTATGAGAGACCGTGAAATTACGTGGCACACACATTTTCCATAATCTAAAACATACACGTGACATCATGACTACATAACACTTCAACTTACGATATCAATTGGTACACAGTCCCTCGGAGCCTGACGTCACAGTTCTCAAAATGTATGCGCACAGAACCTCACCTCAGTTCACAGTTTAGCCGGCGTAACGAGGCCGGGGTCACCTGGGGTCAAGGGGGGATAAAAATCGCTGACGTTGGTGGCGTTGCATAGTGTTTGGCTCAATTGATGTATGCGCACGCTATATACCTCACGAATAGGACCTCACAGATACGACCTCACGAATAGGACTCAGGAAGTGACGTATTGATTGTTCAATGGTGGTACATTATAAGTAAACGATGCCGGGGCCATTAGTATAAATATATTTCGTATTTCGTAAATAAAAACTGAGCTCGCGACGTGGACTCGGGTCGTACACAGTCAGATAGAGGGACTGTGGGCCGAAGCAGCAAGGGCCGGGAGCAAGGGAGTGTTTGGTTATTTAATAAGCCGTGGTTTGCGGTGCTACTATTCGATGACTCGCGATGTAACAGTCGATAATGCGACTGATTAAAACACCGTGTGCCGTTATATTCATGAGTACAGAATGTGTTTTGAGGCCTTCGAGTTCCAGTTGGTAATCTTGAATTTACCGGTAGTGATGTTTTCAACAATCAGATTTGTCGATACTTTGTCGAAGTTGGTCATGGAGAGGGACATACGTATAGAGTCATGTACGTCCTGGCAGAGTACTGATGACAATAAATAATGATGCTCGCAAAATAATTCTAAAATAAAACAGTGTTCGCTTATAATTATAAATGTGTGGGTTGACGAGAACTGCGGTGTTACCTAAATTTAGCTTTGAAAAACAGTGTTTAGATTTCCAAATAATCTGGGTGACAGTATACTCTCAATATATTAAATAAAATATACATGATTCGTCTTCATTGATTAAAAAAATTACTTGACCCATTGAATGGACATTAGCAGTAAGTTTCATGTTTTAATGCTGAAATGTAATTATTTACGCAACAACAAACTTATATAGAACTCACAGTCTCACGTTTTGTCACAGTCCGTGCTATTACAGAGAATGACATTTTCCAGTACACGAATAACGCTTTATAAATGCTCTCCGAGTGCAATTTTATTTCAAATGACACCAATGTGATGATACCATTTCAGGCGAATGTTTTATTTGCAAAATCTATGTC